AAGAGAGAGGAGACGATAGTAGTTATCGGAACCTTCTTGCACATGATTGTAGCGAAAATGGATAAGTAAGATGGGCCATATGTGTCCGACAGTGGTTACCGGAACCTTCTTTCCCATGATTGTACGGAAAAGGATAAGTAAGATCGGCCATACATGGCCGACAGTAGTTATCGAATCAAGTGGTCATGAGTGTGTGGAAACACACAAGAGCGAACATTTACCTTGGGATTGCCAATTGTTCTAGCCCCGAGATTCGTGTGAATAGTCCGAGTCGGCCATAGTTGCGTTGCCTGGAGGCTCTCTCATCACAATTTCTGTAGTTTTTTTAGGGAAACTATTTTCGTAGTTCGTTGATACATGTATAAAGGCTAGGCCCAGTATGCTAGTCCAGTGCACTTGCAGTCTTACACATAGAATGGCCAACTGGCCCGGTCCATCATCATATCAAGAGGAGATGTACACAATTCAAATCAGGTGAAGAAGTGATGCATGAATTATTAAGCATGGAGGAAACTGAAGTCCAGATCCTAGGTCTTCCCAAACTGAAGGAGGTTGTGGCCACTGCAGCATGGTATCTATGGTATGAACACCGAAAAAAGTATCATGGGGAGGACACCCAAAAACCCTCACAAATTGCTTTCGCTATCCGAGGACTCTCAGCTAACTTTACTATTGCTTGTTCCACTAAGGCAAAGCTACGTATTGGTTCATGGGAGAAGCCGATACAGGGGTATATGAAATTAAATGTAGATGCTGGCTTTGACCGAGATCTTCTTGAGGGATCAGTGGGGGTAGTAATCTGAGATTACAATGGGATATTTATTGCGGCAGCTAATGAACGAGTGGACATATGCTATGATTCATTCACTGCAGAGGCATTGGCAGTCAGATTTGGTTTGAATCTAGCCAGAACCATTGGATGCAGTAAGATCGTGATCAACTCGGATAGCATGGAGGTTGTGGAAGCTTTGAGAGCAGGCGACTCCTCTTTGATGGCAAGTGCAATTATTGATGATTGCTATTTCATGTCGTCAGATTTTAATCATGTAATTTATGATCATTGTAATAGAGAGAGTAATAAAGTAGCTCATGAACTTGCTAGGATAGTTAAGTTTTCCCCTCCTTCTATCTGGATGGATTCGGCACCGGATGTACTGCTTCCATTGCTTGTAAACGATGCCACTATTTTGCTAAGTGAATAGAGGAGAAGTTCTGTCAAAAAAAAAGAAGCGTTCCGGTTGCCTAGTACTATGTGGGAAATGCATATTTTGTTTGGGATCCATCATGCGTATTTTACAGTTAGCCTGCCAACGGTACCAACACACATGCCAATGTCTTATGTCCGAGTCATTCAAGAAAAAGAAGAGCAAGAAGACAACAAAAGAGGATGGCCAACTCTTCCTGCCTTTGTAGTAACCTTCTTAGCTACACGGAGTTTTGAATTTTGTTTATAAAAAGACAGTTTTGAATTAGGTAAAAACTAGAGATAAACCTCATCTTGTATAGCTTGGAGTAAGGGAAAAGTATAGTAACAACCTGCGCCTTTGTACTCTGTGATGCCTATTTAATATGAACGCGTCCCTGCCATCAAGATATACGCTTACTGCAATTCTTTTCATCTTACAAGTCGGACTCCCTTTATATACTCTTAAAAAGGAACGGACTGCTCATAGACATGTCAATTATAGGTGTGTACATGCTTTATATTTTACGCAACGTTCTGTTGATCTACTTTTAAATATAAACCGTCAATCTTTATAGTTAACATAAATCAATGGATATAAAAAGATAATGTATGAAGAACTATGAAAACTTTCTCCTTTTATTATTAGGTAATAGATTAAGCTCCTGGCGTTAAAAGGATGCGGTCTTATCACAATGCATTTCTTATTGGACAGTGTTAATTGTCGATTGTTTGGTACTCCCTCCGTCCGGAAATACTTGTCGCGGAAATGGATATAAATGGATGCATCTAAAACTAAAATGCATCTAGATACATTCATTCCTCCGACAAATATTTACGGACGAAGGGAGTATATGGCAAGAGACCTGAACGACCAGGGCTGCATTTCCTTGAGCAAAACATTAAGCAGAACCCGTGCCTAGTTGCTTTGAGCAAAACGAAAGTGCCAATGTCATCACAGATTCTATTGTATTGAAATCAAACCGTAGTTCTGATTCAAAATTCGTTTTCACATGAAAAAATCGTCACGACGAGATCTTCGAAACTAGATCCCATATTGATATGTTTTGACGATTTATTTTCCAGACCAAACTTACCACGCTTGGACTATGTAATGTATTACGCCTACAGTATGTAACTTATCATGGTGTTTACATTAAAGTTATCGGGGTATGTTTCAACTACTTTTTTTTTTGCATGGATAAAAAATTACCACGATATCTCTAAGTAAACTATTAGGTCTGCAAAATATCACCGTCTACAATCGGTGTCGTGCCTGGGCCGCGAGGTGAGGCCCATGTGTCGACACCGCATGACCCGCTTAGAAAGCCAAACTTTGCGGGTCGTATCGGGCTAGGCCTATTTAGGCATGTGCCAGACTATGCATGCAGTGCCCGGGCCGACCCGTTGGCCACCTATAATCAAGTCTGTGGTGCGCAAAATACCATGCTATTTACGCAGAAATTACCAAGGATATGTTTTCCAACAAAAAAGTTCCCCGATTCAAGTTACTGCAGTGTTTGTAAGTAATTTCAGGCATGCAGTCAAATATTACCATATTATTGACACAAATGTTATCAGGGTTATGTTTTTTTTAAAACCTAGTCAAAAATTACCGTGGTGTTTGTAGGCGATTGATTAGCGTTCTGGGAAGACGAGGGAAAAAATGTGACGGGACTAAAAAAATTGACCAAACCAAAAAAAATCGGTGAAGAGACGTGGTGGGAGGAAGGAAAATCGGTTGTCGAAGTGTTCTGCCGGTAGAAAAAGGAACACTATTTTTTTAAGAGTAGAGGTAGAGATACCAGATTGAGAGAAAAATAAAGACAACAAATGCGCTCAATAGGTCTATTGGGCCGCTTCTGGGAGATCATTTTTTCTTTCAGATTCTTGCTATTTCTTTTCGGTACCATGACATAAACTCTTCTTTTCTTGTGCTCTTTATCTTATTATTCGCACTCTTCTTTTCGTGCTGAAACATATTTCAATGAAAAAACAAAACAACTGACTTATTTGATGCTTAAGGTATCTTTTCTCAATGAAAAAGGTCAAGCTAACTTCATTCCTAGCTAAAACAGCTTTCTATCTTGTGAGAAAGACAGGATTTGGAAATGACCAAAAACTAGATGCTTCGACGGGATTCATGCCGGAATAAGAGTAAACTTCTCTCCGAGCAAGCTGACTTTGGCCTTGCCAAGAGCTCTTCGAACGAACAACACATGTGAACCTTGTCGGCTTATGACAAATAGTCGACCCAATGCGTAGAGAACTAGATAGCTCCAACTTTGAAACAAGCATCTCATGAGAAACACGCACACCTTGCACCAACATAGCCCGGCCTTCCATCAAACGACATTGTTACCGCCACATCACCACACGACGCTACAACTCCAATTACATGCTAGACTGTCGATGAGGAAGGCATGTCGCGACCTTGGTCCTCTTGCAACGATCATCATTGCCACCCGAGTCGCATGCGACCCACCACCATCAAGCACTGGTCCCTTCGGCCGATGCCCGTTCCAAAGACAAAGGGATGCGGAAGTGCCTCCATCGTCTGATCCTTGGATATGAGGTTTCTCCCTGAGCTGCCCTGATCGGAGGAAAGGAGAGGATCGCCTCGACGAAGCCTTCAAGAAAGTAACGACACCCATGAGCGTAGCCGTCATCGACTATGGCCTCAGCCAGAGCAGGTTTTCACCAAGCACCGCCTCGCCTACCTCTAGAGCGATCTCAAGAATGGCCAGTCCACCCCCAGGCCATCTACCTCACTTTCTGCCCATGAGCAGACCCACATCGAGCATGGGGAGATTCCCCACAACCCGATGCACTGCATCCCTTCACATACACCACCACTGCACGGACGAGATCCTCACATGCTCCCTCCAAAGCAGCTCTATGCGAGCCAAGCATCACTGTTGCCGATACACCCGCACCCGCACCTGCTCGGGAGCCTTGCATGGCCAGATCAGGCCGGTTTAGGCACCCGCAACACACACAACATCATTCTGACGACTCCACCGCGTCTCCGGAGCTCCACCGCAGCACACAAAGCAACAAATCCACCACTGCAGCACCGAAGCCTCACCACCGTCCGCCAAAGACATCCACCGCAGCCCGAGTCCCACTGGCCACGCCCCAAAGCCAATGTGGCATCTCCGCACCATCTCGTTGTTGCTGCACTGCCGCAAGCCGTGGCCGCTTCCTCACGCCATCGTTGACCCCCTCTCCCGTTGGCGAAAGCAGCCCTTGGAGCACCATCGGTCGCCAAGCCTCGAGACCTCCAGACCCCCCCGAACCGTGCCGCCAAACGGCTCCACCACCGCCAATAGCACCCAGGCATTTCCCAACGACGGTGAGGAGAGAGGAGGAGGATAGAGGGCCCTAAGCGACCGGAATTTGGACGTCCCCGTGCGGTCCGTGGAGACGCACGGGTGCGAGAGTGAAGTGGTTGATAGAGCCTTTTGCTAATGCCCGTAAATCGAATTGTCTTTCTAGGACCGTTTATTGCATGCACAATAACTAGTAGTAGTACTAAAACTTTCGAATGATTCCAACTAAGAAAAGTTTTGAGCTATTTTATTGATTTTTCGTAAATACTGCTCCCTATGTAAAGTAATATAAGACATTTTAGTTCACTACTTTAATGATCTAAATCGTCTTATATTAATTTAGAGAGGGAGTACATATTTATGGTTCTCACAATACAAAATACATGCACGACAGCCCATGCAGAGTATTAGAAACAAGATATGCTGATCTAAATCTGTTTGCGCCAATTAAATCAGTATGGCCTCTTCCCCGCAAAAAGAGGGAGTCAATATGGCCTCTGCCCAATGTAGTTGCCCGGAGGGCTGTAATTGCAAGTGATGAACACGCCGGCGTTGTGGTCGCAGAGCAGACGCGCGCAGCCGATATGCGTTGAGTTGCGCCACACTATCTGCGTGTAGTGCCCGCACTGCTTCCCGGCGGCGCAGCTGTTGGAGGCGTAGTTGTAGTTGGCCTTCTCGTCGGCCCATATCTTCACGGCCTGCGCAGCCGTCCAGTCCTCGCCGGAGCCCCAGAAGAGGTTCTCCCCGTACTGTGGTGCCTTTGAGTGCACCAGCTTGCAATCGCCGGAGCGCTGCCTTGCGTAGCTCGCCGCATAGGCCGCCACGGACGCGTCCCAGGTCACAAGGCCCAAGCCCACGGCGGCGCGAGCGACGTTGTGGGCGACGACGTAGTCGTGTGGCGAGTTCTGGGCATTGCAGGGGTCAGACATCACGGCTGCCATTGCGAGCATGACCAAAAGGGCGAGTTTAGATGCCTCCATGTGTACGCCTTTGAATGTGCAATATATTGCTTATGTTTTTGTTTCGTACTCTTGTGTGGTAGCGTCCACTTTCGCAGTGTATTTATAGAGAAATTTTGTTGAAGGATAAGCCGAAATTATCGAGTATACGTAACTATGGCTGGCAGGATGTAATGAAAGGATATTGAACAACCACCGGGAATTAGTGTCTACCATAGAATCGCACTTATATTTAGAAATAAATTTGATGTAAATACTCTAAAGTATTAATGAAGGAATGGAAATCCAAAAAATGTCCATTACCATTAAAAGATCACCTAAGTTAATATTTTTGGCAAAATTTAATATGAAATATTGATTAATAAGATACTAACGAAAAGCAAGATAAAAGAACAACAAAATAATGTCTGTCTTAGTATGTTTGAAGCATATGTTTGCACACACAAGATTATGACAAAATTTTTATGTAAAACTAACCAATAAGCACTGTATGAAACAAGGAAATTGATTCGTTTCAACCGGCGGTAGACTCTCGCATCAACAACCGCCCCGCGCGAGCGACACACATTCAGTGAGCCCTACTTATGTGCCCTCTCCCTCTTCCTTACATTTTCCCTCGCCAGTGGAATGCTTTCAGCTACCTCTCCCGTTTGAGTTGTGGTATCGCCGTCCAAGTGAACTGGACGAGGGCGACTACAGCAGCCGCCAATGGATCTTGTTGTTGTCACAACATCAGCAAGGCGGCACATGGTGCTACGAGATGCACCTCACCCATGCTTGGTGGATATAATCCCACTGCGACCGGCGATGCTACAAGTTGGGGATCGGTTTTGCAAATCCAGCGCCGCTCATTGCATCCGTGTTGCAAACAATATGACATGGGGGTGCTGTATCCATGATGCAAGACAACGATGTGCAAGGCGCCACCGTGCTGTTGTTGTTGCATGTTGCTACTGTGATGTCATCGGCGACGGCTGCCGGAGATGCTGCAAGCAGTAGCGTGAGGTGCCTATAGTATTGATGCAAGTTGGTGTTGTGATGGTCGTCAACAACGCCGTGAGGAGTTGAGTGAGGGGGATGTGGGGTTGCTACGAGTTGGTGATGCGACGATGTTGCTACTTGTGAGATGCGTCGGGATTTTCCCCGAAGAGAAAGGGTGAAACAGTATAGTAGCTGATAAGTATTTTCCTTAGCGAGAACCAAGATTATCGAACCAATAGGAGAACCACGCAAATCCTAGTGAAGAATACCTGCGCACAAAAGAGCAAATACTTACACTCAACGTGGGCAAAAGGGTTGTCAATCCCCTTGAAATCGTTACTTGCAAACCTGATAGCGGTAGATAGAAAAAAGAAAAGTAAATAAATTACAGTAAGGTATTTTTGGTTTTAATAATATGATTAAGATAGACCCAGGGGCCATAGTTTTCACTAGATGCTTCTCTCCCGAAACAATAGCATACGGTGGGTAGACAAGTTACTCTTGGATAATTGATAGAAAACACAAAGTTATTATGTTATTCATGTCAATGGTCATGTATATATGCATCATGTCCGTGACAAGTAGACCGAAACGATTCTGCATCTACTACTACTCCACTTCGAGAGCGCTTCGATGCTTGCCTCTCTACGTATTAAGTTCATGACAAATAGAGTAATGCATGAAGTACGATGATATGATGTAGACAAAGTAAACTCAAGCAATAAGAATAAACTCCACCATTTTACCCTTATTGGAAACAATACAATGTATGCCTCGCTACCCCTTCTATCAGGAGGTGAGGACACCACAAGATTGAACCCATCACAAAGCACCTCTCCCACTGAAGATAAATCAATCTAGTTGGTCAAATCAAACAGATAGATCGAAGATAAATATAAAGCTATAATAATCATGCATAATAAAGTTCAGAAAAGACTCAATTACTTTCAATGAATAATCTGATCATAAACCCACAATTTATTAGATCCCAACAAATGCACAACAAAAGAAGATTACATCGGATATAAATCCAAGAAGATTGAGGAGAACATTGTATTGAAGATCAAACAGAGAGAAGAAGCCATCTAGCTGAAGGAAATATGCCCTAGAGGCAATAATAAAGTTATCATTTTATATTTCCTTATTCATGATAAAGGTTTATTATTCATGCTACAATTGTATTGATCGGAAACTTAAATACATGTGTGAATACATAAACAAATATTGTGTCCCTAGTAAGCCTCTACCAGACTGGCTCGTTGATTAAAGATGGTTAAAGTTTCCTAACCATAGACATGTGTTATCATTTGATAATGGGATCACATCATTAGGAGAATGATGTGATGTACAAGACCCATCCTTAGCTTAGCATATTGACCGTTCAGTTTATTTGCTATTGCTTTCTTCATGTCAAATACATATTTCTTCGACTATGAGATTATGCAACTCTCGGATACCGGAGGAATACCTTGTGTGCTATCAAACGTCAAAACATAACCGGGTGATCATAAATATGCTCTACAAGTATCTCCGAAGGTGTTTGTTGAGTTGGCATAGATCGAGATTAGAATTTGTCACTCTGAGTATTGAAGAGGTATCTTTGGGCCCTCTCGGTAATACACATCATAAGAAGCCTTGCAAGCAAAGTGACTAAGGAGTTAGTTACAGTATGATGTATTACAGAACGAGTAAAGAGACTTGCCGGTAACGAGATTGAACTAGGTATTAAGATATCGACAATTGAATCTCGGGCAAGTAACATACCGATGGACAAAAGGAATTATGTATGTTGTCATAAGGTTTGACCGATAAAGATCTTCATAGAATATTTAAGAGCCAATATGGGCATCCAGGTTCCACTATTGGTTATTGACAGGAGAGGTGTCTCGGTCATGTCTACATAGTTCTCGAACCCGTAGGGTCCGCACGCTTAACGTTCGTTGACGATATAGTGTTATATGACTTATATGATTTGGTGACCGAATGTTGTTCGGAGTCCCGGATGAGATCACGGACATGACGAGGAGTCTCGAAATGGTTGAGAGGTAAATATTGATATATAGGACGATGGTATTTAGGCACCGAAAATGTTCCAGGGTGCACCGGGTACTCATCGGGACATCGGAAGGGGTTCTGGACACCCCCGGTAAGTGTATGGGCCTAATGGGCCAAATGAGGGGACAAACCTATATAAGGAGGGGAGCGCCACTTGGGGAGGACACCAAGTAGAATTTAGCCTACTTGGGGGTGCCTCCTGGCTGCTCCCTCCTCCCTCACCTATATATATGTGGGAGGGGGGGCGCCTAGCACAACACAACATTGTCTTAGCCGTGTGCGGCGCCCCCTCCACTGTTTACACCCTCGGTCATATATTCGCAGTGCTTAGGTGAAGCCCTACGGAGATCACTTCACCATCACCGTCACCACGCTGTCATGCTGGCAGAACTCATCCACTACCTCATCGTCTTGCTGGATCAAGAAGGCGGAGGACGTCACCGAGCTAAACGTGTGTTGAGCGTGGAGGTGCCGTATGCTTGGTACTTGATCGGTTGGAGCGCGAAGAAGTTTGACTACATCAACCGCATTACTAAATGCTTCCGCTTGGTACGTAGACATACTCCCCCCTCTCGTTGCTATGCATCTCCATGAATAGATCTTGCGTGTGCCTAGAAAATTTTCGTTTTCCATGCAACGTTTCCCAACAGTGGCGTCCGAGCCAGGTCTATGCGTAGATGATATGCACGAGTAGAACACAAAGAGTTGTGGGCGGTGATTGTCATACTGCCACATCCACACACATGAGACCGGTTCCACCGACAGACATGCAAGTAGTTTTGCATAAAGGTGGCTGGCGGGTGTCTATTTCTTGTACTTTAGTTGAATCGAATTTGACTATGGCCGGTCCATGAAGAAGGCGAAAACAACAAACTTGACGAATCACCGTTGCGGTTTTTGCATAAGTAAGAACGGTTCTTGCTAGAAGCCCATAGCATCCACGTAAAACTTGTAACAACAAAGTAGAGGATGTCTAACTTGTTTTTGCAGAGCATGTTGTGATGTGATATGGTCAAGATATGATGTGATATATGTTGATGTATGAGATGATCATGTTTTGTAATATCGACAACCGGCAAGAGCCTCTTAGGGTTGTCTCTTTATTGTATGAAGTTCAAGCGCCATGTAATTTCTTTACTTTATCACTATCGTTAGCGATAGTTGTAGAAGCAATAGTTGGCGAGACGACCCCGACGCAATGATGGAGATCAAGGTGTCGAGCTGTTGACGATGGAGATCATGACGATGCTTTGGAGATGGAGATCAAAAGCATAAGATGATGATGGCCATATCATGTCACATATTTTGATTGCATGTGATTTTATCCTTTATGCATCTTATTTTGCTTAGAACGGCGGTAGCATTATAAGATGATCCCTTCACTAAATTTCAAGCTAAAAGTGTTCTCCCTGAGTATGCACCATTGCCAAAGTTCGTCATTTCGAAGCACCACGTGATGATCGGGTGTGATAGACTCTACGTTCACATACAACGGATGAAAGACAGTTTTGCACATGTAGAATACTTGGGTTAAACTTTACAAGACTAGCATGTACAGACATGGTCTCGGAACGTTGGAGACCGAAAGGTCAAACGTGAGTCATATAGTAGATATGATCAACATAGAGATGTTCACCATTGATGACTACCCCATCTCACGTGATGATCAGACATGGGTTAGTTGATTTGGATCATGTATCACTTAGATAACTTGATGGATGTTTATTTAAGTGGGAGTTCATTAGTAATTTGATTAGTTGAACTTAAATTTATCATGAACTTAGTCTTAATAGTTTTTGCATATCTATGTTGTAGATCAATAGCTCACAATATAGCTCCCCTATTTTTGATATGTTCCTGGAGAAAACCAGGTTGAAAAATGATGGTAGCAATAAAGCGGATTGAGTTCGTGATCTGAGTATTATCCTCATTGCTGCACAGAAGAATTATGTCCTTCATGCACCGCTAGGTGTCAGACCTATTGC